CTCTCTTTCCTTTCTACTCTTCATTTTCTTTCTTTCTTTCTTTCTTTCTATCTTTCTTTCTTTCTTTCTTTCTTTATTTCTTTATTTATTTTTTTAGCTTTTCCATCATTGTATTTTTTCTTTCTTCCTTTTATTGCTTCGAGAAACCTTTTTATTTTTCATCTTTATCTTTTTTTTGCTTTTCCATCTTTCTTTCTTTCTTTCTTTCTTTCTTTCTTTCTTTCTTTCTTTCTTTCTTTCTTTCTTTGTATTGCTTCTCTATCTTTCTTTCTTTCTTTTTTCTTTCTTTCCTTCTTTCTTACTGTTGCTTCTCAATCTTTTTTTCTCTTTTTCTTTCTTTTTTCTTTCTTTCTTTCTTTCTTTCTTTCTTTCTTTCTTTCTTTCTTTCTTTATGTCTACCTTTCTTTTTTCTGTTTGTCTTTCCTTTTCTTGCCGTTTTTTTACTTCTTCCCCACCTCTATGTTTTAATTCTTTTTATCATTTTTCGCTCTTCTTTTTGTCTCCTCTATCCTTAATTCATTTCTTTATCCCTCACCTTAATTTTTCTTCCCGTTTTCTCTCTGATCACATATGTCAACATCTCTACGAAATACATATATGTACACTTAGCTGAAAAAAAGGAAGTTTTTCCATAGCTGGACAGGATCTTCTTTTTTTAATTGAATAAAGAAAGAAAGTCGCGCTGAAAATAGATAAAGAAAAATAGAAAAATAATAAAATGCATAACAAAGTAAGAAAGTGGTTGAGAAAGCAAATTAACAGATTTTTAAAGTGTGGGGTGGGGGGGGGAGAAAGAAGCCATCAAATAAATCGACAGAATAGAAGGGAAAAGAAAGTGAAATGTTTACGAAAAGAAAGAATGAAAATAAAATTAAATGATAAAAAATAAAGAACATTTGAGCAAAATATGAAAGAAACAAATGAAAACAAAAAAGCAAACACACGAAGAGAGAAAGAAAGAAAGAAAGAAAGAATGAACGAAATAAATAAATAAATAAATAAATAAATAAATAAAGAAAGAAAGAAAGAAAGAAAGAAGAGACATACCCAAATAATCCAAATCAAAGAAACAAAGGCAGGAAAAAAGGGAAAAGCAAAAAAGAAAGACGAAGAGAATGGAATGAAGAAAGAAAAATTTAGAAAGAAAAATAAATAAGCAAAAGAGAAAGTATGCAAGGACGGAAGAAAGAAAGAAAGAAAGAAAGAAAGAAAGAAAGAAAGAAAGAAAGAAAGAAAGAAAGGAAGGAAGGAAGGAAGGAAGGAAGAAAGAATAAACCGGAGGAAAATAAAATGGAAAACACATCTATAAGGAAACTGAAAAATGTAAAAGAACAACTGCATAAAAAGTCATTTTTTCTTTCTTTTTTTAGTGGTTATTTTAGATATAGAGGGGATGAAATGAAAGTAGGGGGGAGAGAGAGAGAGAGAGAGAGAGAGAGAAGGAGAGAGAGAAAGAGGGGGGATTATTACCTGCACTATATATATATATATATAGATATAGATAGATAGATAGATAGATAGATAGATAGATAAATTCCCAGATAGGTTCTGTGGACAAGACAAATTGGTATAAAATGAATGACAATTGGAAAAAAATCTTAGATTTTGCCGACGCGTTTCGTCTTCCGACTTTTTCAAGGCAAAAATGAAATTGAAATGTCTTTTTCGTTATAGTTACATTTAAAAATCCATATTTAAAAAGACAGACGCTTCTGTCTAATCCTTTTTTTGGTTAATGTATTTTTTTTTATCAATTGTCATTTTATACCAATTTGTCTTGTCCACAGAATTGATCTGGGAATTTAACTGCAATGTCGACATGGGAAAAAATAACTTAATATAAAGGTAATTTACATTAACCAGAAAAAGGCTTAGACAGAAGCGTCTATCTTTTAAAATTTGGATTTTTCAATGTAACTATAAAAACAAAAACATTTCGATTTCATTTTTGCCTTGAAAAAGTCGGAAGGCGAAACGCGTCGGCAAAATCTAAGATTTTTTTCCAATTGTTATTTTATACCAATATATCCTTATAGAAGAGAACTTTAGAATAAGAGAGAGAGAATGAAAGAGAAAGAATGCGAAAGCGAAGTGGGATAGGAAGAAGACGACAAGAAAATAGTAAATGAAAGTTTTAACAACATAGAAAAGGAGAAAAGCGCCAACCGGAAAAAGAAAATCGAAACAAAAGTTTTATCAAAAAAGAAAGCTTGTTAAACAAGGTGCGATGCATTGATGGGCATAACACAAACACAAACGCTTTCTTTCTTTCTTTTTTTACTTTTTCCTTTCCATTTTTCTTTCCTTTTTCTTTCTCCCTCTCCCCCCTCCCTCTCTCACGCACACACACAACACGTGGTCAAACAGCAGTTTCTCTTATAAATTGGGACACAGGTTCGAACCTTGCCGGAGAACACATATTCTTTTTTTTTAATTTCTCCGTGTAAAAAAAAGAAAAAAAAAGAATTTGATGCAATAAAAATGTCGGTTTAAAAATGAA